CTTGAAAGATTTCATCATTATGTGTATGGATACACAGCGACGGTGCAAACAGATCACAAACCATTGGTCAGCGTGTGGAAGAAATCCATAGTGTGTAACTCACCACGCCTTCAGAGGCTATTGCTGAGACTATCTCAGTATGACGTAAACATTGAATACCTGAAAGGGAAGGATAATGTCGTAGCTGACGCACTGTCCAGAGTATCTCCTCAGCCAACACCTAAAGAAGGAGAAGACGAGGAAGATTTCATCCCAGTTCACATGCTCACAGAGGAAATCCCCGCCGATTCTACGAGAGTTGGAGATTTCAGACGCGCAACTGCAGAAGACACTATTTCCGGCTTACTGATGCAAGTGGTAGCAAATGGATGGCCTGAATTAAAGAAAGATTGCCACCCACTTCTTGTAGACTACTGGAGCTACAGAGAAGAGATCAGCGCAGAGAATGGTCTATTGTTCAAAGGCCATCGACTCATAGTTCCTGAGAAATTGCGTAGCAGAGTCCTCCAAACCATCCACGAAGGTCATTTTGGTTTTGAGAAGATGCAACTAAGAGCCCGAGAAGCAGTATTCTGGCCAGGAATAACCTCAGATTTACTACAGACAGCACAGGGTTGTGAAGTGTGCCAGACGTTCTCGAGGAGCCAACAACGCGAGACAATGTTGTCCCATGAAGTTCCTCAAGGACCTTGGGAGAAGTTAGGAATTGATTTCTTCGAGTTTCAGTCTACTACCTACCTCCTGATAGCAGACTACTACAGTAGGTTTCCCGTGATCCGGAAGGTACGCAGCACCAATGCAAACACTACCACCGAGATTTTGAAGCAAGTGTTTAGCGAATATGGAGTACCTCAAACCGTTATGACAGACAACGGTCCCCCGTTCTCGTCGAACGAATTTGCAGCTTTTGCAAACCAATACCGATTTGACCACATCACGTCTAGCCCTCGTTACCCGCAGAGTAATGGTTTTATCGAACGTATGGTGCAGACGGTCAAGCAGTGCATGAGAAAATGTGCAGCCGCAGGACATGATGCAAACTCAGCTATGTTGGTCTACCGAGCCACACCCCTTACTACCAGCATACCGTCACCTGCAGAGCTATTGAATGGACGAAAATACAGAGCATTACTTCCAACCAAATCCCCTATCCAGAATCCTCATTACCAGGTTGTCCGAGAGCAAATGGTGAAAGACAAGAACAAAGTGTGCGAACACTACAACAAAACTGCAAGGGATCTAACTTCATTGCCACAAAATCAGAGAGTGTACGTACAGGTTCACCCCCAACATAACCAGTGGACTCCAGCAACCGTTACCAAAACGCCAGTAGCGTCTCAACCGAGATCGTACAGTGTTGAAACTACTAAGGGAGCCCAGTTAGTGAGGAATCGTCGCTTCATTCGTCCAGCACAAGAGATTACTCCCGTTCCTGCCGATAGTATGAAGCGTGACGATAATAGTAGCAGTGGACGACCAAGACGTGTGATTACAAGACCTAAAAGACTTATAGAGACAATTTAATTAGTTTCAATGTTTTCAGTTAAGGCCTAATTTTTTTTTTATCAGAGGGGAGATGTTGCATAATCAGCAATGCACGCCGCCATTTAGATTTATCACAAAAGAATCATTGCTAATTAGTGCATATTGTAATGTAACCGTAATTATATGCAAAATGCCCGAAGGTATAAAATACGTGAATTTTGACTCTACAATTATTATTACTTGGATTTGTGTGTGCGTAAATAAAGAACCTTATTTTTACAGGACCGAGTAGTTAACATGGCGTCAGGATTTAACAAACCCAGCCAAGACTAACGTCAACAGCGATCACCGCCAGCTTTTCGAAACATCAACTTTCTCAATCTACAA